TCCCTGAAGCCCCGCCAGGTGCCCCGTGTCTTCCTCACCACTCCCTGGGCAGTGACATCAACACCCCCAGCTTGCTGATGGAGAACCCAGGGCTCAGAGACGGGCAGCCACCTGGCTAGGGTTGCACAGCTGCTGAGTGCTGGGGCTGGGATGTGAACCCAGGTCGGCCTCGGAGTCTAAAGCTCTCTTCATCACTGAGGGAGGCAGGACCCTCACAGTGTCCCAAGCAAAGGGAATGGTTTTCCCAGCAGTGCCCAGGGCGCCCCATCTTCCCTGCATTGAGAGGCGCCCAGCGAGCCCCACATTCCAGCTGCACCTCTCTCTGAAGCGGAGCCCACGGCAGTCCCGTGCGTGTCCTCAAAGACGAGGCACTCCTCGCCACACTGAAGGTGGTACCGGTAATAGCAATAATTTCCAGGCAACAAGATGCCAGGTCCTCTGGGCCACATCATCTCGAATCCTTATAAGAATACTTTCCCCTAGGTGGGCATGTCCCCATTTGACAGAAGAGGCTCAGGTAGGTGCCAGGGCTGTGTGGTCCTTACCCTGGCTCTGCCAGGCAGGGAGGGAGGAAGCCCAGGGCCACTAATCACATACCCCAGAGGAGATCCTCACAACCTGCTTCCCCCACTGGAGAAAAAAGCCGGCAAACAAATTAGGCTACTCCAGCCCAGGGCCTGGGGAATACAGGGTGAGCCAGGAGTCAGCTGTGAATAATGCCTCCGTTCAGCAGACGACTGCAGCCGCAGGAAGGCCTTTGCGTACCCTTCTGCCCGCAGCCAAGGTGCTGAGGTTCAACGGAGAGGTGCCCTCCCGCGGGCCAGAGGGTCCCCAGGCTCGGACTGGCAGAGTGCGCCCTTCAGCCCTCAGATCCCCGGGGAGGGCACTACGGAGGCCTTTTTCATAAGGCAACGCGATGTCCCTTCCTTCCAAAGAGATCCATTTCTTCGGACAGGCCCTCACCCCAGGCTGGGGGCAGGGGTGTCCACAGCCCTGAGTGAGTCGGATGAGGACTATGCCAGCTGGGGTACCCACCGGCGGAGGGGGTCCTGCTGGTAACTGGCACCCCGCAGGAAGGCCTATGGGAGGCCTCCCGAGCTGGGAGACGCAGCACCCAGAAAAGACGGGGCGACTCCGCTCTTCCTCTGCACCACACCCGGGCTCCGCCGCTGCGGGTGCTCCGAGGGGAGGTGAGCCTCCCAGGAAGGCCTTTCCCGGGGTAAACACTTCCGAGGAAAGGAATGTGCTGGGAAGCGCGGGGTTGGGCCACTGGAGCTCCGTGCAGCCAGCTGGGGTAAATTAAAAAAAGAAAAAAAAAATCACCCCGGACTCGGACGGCTTTTTTTGTGAAACTCAATCAAAGCCTCGTCGCTGCCCCCCCCTCCTGCCGAGGTGGGCGCACCCTACCTGGGCAGGCGAGCCCGAGGGGATCCTCGCAGGCTCAGCTGGGCCCTGCTACTGCGGCGGAGAGGCGAGGGCGCCCGCGCGGGCCCCGCTGGCGGAAGGGCGCCGCCAGCCCGGGCTGGGTGCGCGGCCCCGGCGGGAGCCCCGCGTCTCTCCGCGCACGCAGGCCCCCGCTCGCACACCGCGGAGTCTCGGTCGCCAGACCTCGGGGCTGTCTTACAAGCGATCAGACTCCATTTTGTGACAGATTTTTGGACTCTCCCGCCAACCCTCCCCCCTTCCGGAGCCTCCTCCAGGAATTCGCCACCTCCTCAGGATACAAACCCTTTCCAGACAAGCGACAGACGGCAAGAAAAGAGTTACATAATTCTGTTTGGCCGAACCGCCAAGAAAAAAAACTGGGGGACGGTATGTTGTCATTTTTCCATGTGTACTCCGGTGGAGGAAGGAGAGGGGTGCTCGCGATTTCGCGTTTGGAGGCCGCATCTCCTCCCGGTTTCTAGCCCGGTTTTCTGCCCGAAGAGCTCCGGCTGCCGAGGGGCCAGAGCCTCGGGCACAGAACAATCCGATGCTTCTGGGTTTTTCCTTAGAAGGAGGCCCCCCCTCAAAAAAAAACACGTAGGAGAAAAAGGAGACTTTCGAGTTATGTGTGAAAATGCCAAATGCCGTTCCCCCTCCCCCCGTTCTTTTCGGCGGTGCAGGGCGTGCTGTGGATGTTTATCAAATGCTATTAAATTCGTCCGAATGTCAATTAATTACCCCCGTGGTGCGTAAAATAAATGCTACACTTCTAGGTGTCCAGGATCTTTGAAAACAAATCCAAGTGGAGAAAGGGAGCTTAATAAAAACAGCCACCTCTTCCTAAGAACCAAATCCCGCTGCTCCTCGCGGGGAGGACACGTTTTCCAAAAGTTACGGTGGTGGGGGGGGGTTGTTAATTTCCCAATACCGCTGACGCACAGACAAGACAAAATCGAGAAGGCACGTTTCTGTGCCCACTTGCCTGGATTCTCGTCTGAAAGCATTTACGCACAGATGCAATAAATATGCCTCTGCGAACCTCAAAGAAAAAAAAATAAATCGTGAAATATATTTGTATTGTGCAAAGAACACTGCTTTCCTGTGAGCCCCTGCTTGCCTGGCTGCACCAACTGCCCCTGAGAGACGCTGGAGCGAGACCTGCCCCGGGAATTTGTGCCCAGGACTGTCTTGCTAGCAGCCCCTCCTGGGCTCCCAACCAGCCCGCCCAGTGCAGGTAGCTAATTGGCGGTACTGGAAGAGAGAGGAGGTCAGGGCGGAGGGTGCACCATGAGGGCGGTGAAGGATGCCCACGCCCCGAGGCTGCAGCCCTGCAGGACACACGCTGCTCGGGACCTGGGATTCGCCCTCCTCCAAAATTCACTCGCAAGCTCACCCCTACTGCCCTGAAGAAGAAAGCTCTTGGGAGCCTTTTTTCCTTTTTAAAACAAATATACTTTTGACAAAGCGATCGCAAATGTTTAATTGTTTTGTAAAATGAGGGGGTGGGTCCCTCAGCTCTAAGGGGTAACATCCAGTGCAGATTTTGTGATTTTACAGTTCCATGCTCTGAAGAAGCAGGGGTATCATCCTCTCCTTGTTTTAAAAAGCAGCTCTAGCAACGACTGGGGCGGAGGTGAGGGCTGGGGTGGGGGCAGAACCTGCAGACTGGGACGAGAGGTTGGAAGGAGCAGTGCCAACGTGCACAACAATTTCAGAAACCCGCACAAATGACCCGGAGGCCCATTTCCAGTTTCCTGGGCCTCCTGTCCCCACGTGTTGAGTCGACCAGGCTGGTGGCTGAGCTGAGTGGGAAGTGGCACTGCCAGGGCCCCACTCAGGTTGGGCAGGCACAGCAATGAGGGCTGCAGGACGGCGGGACGTGGGTGGGCTGCACGCCGCTGAGCCCAGCTGAGGGGCTGCTCCCAGGCCGGCCCAAAGCTGCCGACCACGCTTGCCCCAAACCACTTTCCTCATTTCATTTGTGCGTCCCTACGCCTGCCTGTGGCGGAGCTGACTGGCAGCCTCTTCTCCTGGAACTAGAACCCCATCAGCCCAGGGCACAAGGCAAAAGTGATCAACGGCAGTGTGCCTAACCCGGGGCGCTCCAGACAGAGGGGGAGGCCTCCGCTGGGCTCCCGGACCAGTGAAAGAGCTGACTCTGGGAACCTGAGCCCAGCTCCTGCCCGCAGAGCCCCCAGCCGGCAAGATGAGCGAGGCACAAAAACAGCTCCTGCTAGGCCCCCAGACCAGGGCAGCCCAGCCCGATTAGGCCCTAGTGTGGAGCTCAGCTAGAGCCTTCCAGAGTAGAACCTGATGCCCTCCTGAGGGCTCTGGCCTCAGCCAAGCAGCGGAGGAGCACGCCAGCTGCTCCGATTCCCAGCAGGGCCTGGATTTAGAGAGTCGCTGGGTAGAGCAGGTAAGCTGCTCCGACCACCAGACACTGGCAGCCCAGCCTTTTCCCAGCGGCTTGGGCACACACAGTCCCCTCTGAGCGCCCAACCACCTGAGCAGCCTACCCACCCTGCAGTTCCATCTGAAAGAGTTTTCCAGGCCTCACTAGAAAGTTGTCACAGGCACCCACTTGCCTTCACAATGTTGCCCTAGGGATCCTCACGTTCCTCTTTTGGCTGTTGCACCTCTCTGCCTCCTTCTCAATCATGCTGCCAGGCACAAACCCAGACTGGGGGGTGGAAAAAGGCGCATCTACTAATATCTGCCCCAAGCCCCTTACCAGGCAAATTCACAGTCTCAGCTAAAAGCAAAAGTCAGCGGGTAGAACTCAGCCCACAGCCTGTGGCCTCAACCCTGAGGCTTGAGCTACACCAGGGCGGAGCAGGCCACCCCTCCCCAACACACACACTTTGCAAAACAGAAAGCCTGCTGGGGATGGCTGATCCAGTCAGTTCCCCACCCCCAAGGGGAGCCCCAGATTGTGGTTTGCCACTTCTTGAGGTCCTCTTCCTAGACAGCTTCTCCAGCCAAAGAAAATTGTAAGTACAGAATTCCCGCATGGAACGGTTTGGGGAGGATGGACATCCTTTTCTCTCCATCAGGGACTAAAATTGCAGTAGGGCGCCTAGCAGCAAAGGGGCATGGGGGGCTGCTCAGGCAGTTCAGCACCCCTGCTCTCCGCCTCCTTGCTCCAGGAGCCCCAAGCCCCCACAAACCCAGCCTTTGGGCATGGAGAAGCACACCACCAGGGTCTGACTCCCTAAAGCACTACCTTCGTTTGGAAATCAATTCTTGGTCCCCAATTCAGGCCTCCCAGGACAGCGGCATCCATCCCCCAGTCGGCCCAGGGCCTTGTCCCGTACCCCAACTCGGAGGCCCTGCGAAAGTTTTCCGGACAAAGGGCAGCAACTAGGAGCTGCCGGAGGCTCGCGGCCACCCCATTAGTGTCGTCCGGGCTGGGATGGTTCGCTCCTGCCCGAGACGCGCAGCCCGCGGAGCCCTCGGCGTGGACTGGCCCAGCGGCGCACAGAGCCGGCTGCAAGGCGGCCGTGGGCCCGGCCTGGCAGGGGCGGCCAGGCTGGAGCGCAGGGCGGCGGGGAAGGAGGAGGACTAGAGGCGCTTACTGTTGGTAGTCTTGTTTGCAGTAGAGTTTCCGATCCCGGAAGTAGCAGCTGGTGGTGAGGGCTTGCTGACACGCCGCGCACTGCAAACACTCCTCGTGCCAGGACGACTCGTTGACTCGCATCAGGAAGCGGTCGGAGATGGGCCGCTGGCAGCCCTCGCAGACGGCGGGATGCGGGCAGTCGGAGCCTGCAGCGCACAGGGCGAGAGCCGAGCCGTCAGCGCCCACAAGCCCGGCCAACGAGTCCCGGCCGCCCGGTGCCCGCAGCCCCGGCTCCAAGGGCGAGGGCAGCCCTGGAGCAATACCCGCCGCACCAAGGGCCGGGCAGCCTCAGCTAGTTCGTCCTAGTCCGCGGACTCCGGCGCCGAGAAGCCGCCTGGGCTCGGCGCTGTGCTCTCCCCTTCTCCGGAGATCCAGCGCTTGGTATTTAATACGTAAGAGAACGGGTACGGCGCGGGGTAGCTGGCTGGGACCGAGACAGGCGAGGTGAGGCTGGGGCGCTCGCTGGCTGACACGCCCCACAGTGGCATACGTGGTCTTCTGTCCTCGACCTCCCCAAAATCTGTGATTTGGGTGACTCGGGGGACATTTTTCTTTTAGAAGCTCCCCCTCCCCAAGTGACCTGGCACTACTCCCAAGCTTGCCCAGGTGACTGCTGGGGTCCTCAGTCGCCCCTGCAACCCGCCTCCTACCTCCCGCCCATAGAGGCATCTCTAGATCCGAGGCCGGATGAAGATGCGGGGGTGGAGGCTGGAGCTGTCCTGTCTTTCCTCCTCCTAGGTGATATCCCCACATCCCTCTGTCCCCACAGGATGGCTGTCCAGCTTGTTACCCCTCTGGTGATCACTCCTTAAGTTTTTTGTGTCCCCGCACATCCCCATGTCCTGCAAACCACTTCCTTTATCAGTTGGTCTAGACGCCTGCTTCCACCTCGGGACAAGGCCCCTGTCCCCTGATCGTGGTCACTCGGGTGTCCCGACCCCGCACTCACCCAGCAGCACCCCCAGAGTGGCGGGTCCGGGGCGCAGGGCGTGTTCCTCCATCTTGATGCCGTCCAACATCTTGGCGCAGTCCGTCTGCCCGCGAGGGAAGCACCTCTCCAGCGACTCGGGACCTGTTGCTATATCCATGGGACGCGGGGCGCGCTGCGGGCCCCGCCAGCCAGGGTGCTCGCCTGGCCGCCCGCCGGCCCGCTCGCGGCCGCCGCCGCCGCGGCCGCGGCGCGGGGAAAACGCGGGCCCCGCGGGGTTGGGGCTGCGGCTGGGGCCGCCGGTTGCCCCCGGCGAGCGTGCAGCGGCGACGCGCTGGACCCGAGTCCCGGCGTCGTGCTGGCGGGCCGGGGCGGCTGCAGTCCGCGCCGCGCTCTCCCGGGCACTCGCACCCACGCGCGCCGGCTCCTCTGTCACCTGCTTGTCAGCCCCGGAGCCGGGTTGCGGCGGCGGCGGCAGACGGAGCCGCGGGGAGGAGACGGCGGCGGCGGTGGCTGCGGCGGCGGCGGGCGGGGGAGGGGGCGGGGGTGCAGGGGCGGCCCCGCGGGCTGCGGGGGGGGCGCGGGCGGCGCAGCGGGGTCCCGGGCGGGGCGCAGCGGGCCGCGGGGCTCCCGGCGCGCTCCCCGCGCTACTCCAGTGCCATGGTGCGCCCGAGGAGCCGCTCGGTTTAGAGCTGGGGCTGGCGGCGGAGGGATACTCCGGCCGGGAGCCGCCTCACCCCTCCTCAAACTTCCTGACATTTGAACTCATTGGAGCGCCTCGTATCCCTGCGCCGGGATGAGCCGGCGGCTCCACGTCAAATAGTGCCGTCGCCGCCCCCCCTCCCTGCAGGAGGGCTCCCCGCGCCCCCAGCTTGCGCCCCTCGCGGCGCCTGGCTCAGGGCACCGGCTCGGGAGGCCCGGCCAGGACGAACGCCCTGTTGGCCCCTCTCAGAAGTTTGGGTTGCCTTGCAAACAAATCCTTCTGCCCCACCCCCTTGAAAAATTGATTTGGGAGTTGGGGAATGAAGGCTTTCTTTTTTCTTTCTTGCCTTCTTTATTATTAATATTTTGTAAAGCTTCATTGCTGAGAGGAGTGGCCCCGAACGCGGCCAGACTGCGCGGACCGCGGGGAGCGCAGCGGTTGCACCAGGGGACGGCGCCAGCCGGGGACCCAGACTGTCCTGTCGGCCGAGGTAGGTCGCGCCGGGCTGAGCTGGCGTCCCCGGGCCGCGGCGCCGTCTCGGGGCGGGTTTGGTCCTCTGAGAGAGCTGACTACCGGGCCCGATGGACGTGGACCTGCAGGAGGGGACAGCTGCTGACCCAGGACGGGCCAAAGGGGGGCCCTAGCCCATGGAGAGGGGGTGGGCCCCGGAATCGGGGTGCGGGGTCCGGGAAGCATTCAGACAGGGCAGAGATTGGGTGGAGAAGTGGGCGAACGTCGTGCAGGGGCCCCAGGATCAAAAACAGGGGACACTGGACAGGGGAGGAAGGTGAGGCCGGGTTCACGCGACGGGAAGTTTAGAGGACGATTAGGTCTGGGCAAGGGGGTCCCTGGGAACGGGTGGGGGCAATGGACGGGAACCTGGCCTCGAAGGAGGCGGAGTGAGGAACAAGGGCAGGGGCTGTTAGCTCCAGGTCGGGGCAGAAAGTCGGGGACGACGTGCATTCAGCCGCTGGAAGGAAACCGGATTGGACGCTAGATTAGGCGACCTTTGGCGGTTGAGGGACCCGGCTAGGGGTCCGTGGGCCGCGCCCGGCAGGGACAGCGCCACGAGAGGCTGGGCGAAGTGGGCCTCTGCACCGGGGAGCAGAAGGTCGGCAAGACCCAGCGGCCGATCCGGGAGCTCTCGAGGCCTGACACCTACCGGGCCTGGCACCCGCGCTGGCCGCTCGGGCCGCCGCGTCGGACTGCAGCGCACAGCGCCCGCACCGGCTTCCTTCATCTTCGGCTTCTGGGGCCCCACGGAGGCGAGGCTCGCTGGCTAGCAGGGGGGAAGCCACCTTGGGGCAGGCGCGGGCTAAGCCCGAGGGCTGTGGTGGGGCGGTCCCGGCTTTGCCGGAGGAGCGGGGCAGCGGCGCGAAGCCGGGCGGGGGCGGAGGGCACGGGAGGCGGGTCCCCTGACCCCGCTGGAGGCGAGAGGGCGGATCGGATTTGGAGCCTGCGGGAGGCTTGGTCAGAAGTGGCCCCCTGTGCCGTGGGGCCCCGCGGAGGGGCCAGGCTTTGTGGAGGATTAGGGACTCCCGCCCCACCCCAGCACCCGCGTGTGTGTCTGTGTGCGCCTGTGCTTGTCGACCGTCTGGCTTCGGAGGCTCTGGCGCGCGGGTACACCCGGGTTTCCGTGCACATAATACAGTATTTCTGCGTCCCCAGACTTCCTGGGCACCGAATGTGTGACCCTGAGTCTGGTTTCCCTGCGTCCTCTTATGTGTGTTTGCGTGTGAATCCGAGGGTCCTTGGTCCTTCCGTGCCTCTGTTTCTTCCGTGGTTTTGGAGGTCTTTGTGTGTATCCCGTGTCTGTGTCACTGTGCGGGCATGTTTGCCTTTGTGCGTTGTCTCTCAGCCTCTGTATTGTGTCTGGGAGCCTTTTCTGTATCTGGGTCATCTCGTTGCTTTTGTATGTGTGGGTCTCTGAGTTTCTGAATGATTCTGTGTGCTCGGGTGTCTCAGAGTTTGGGGGGGGGTGGTTTGGGGTGTGTGTGTGTGTGTTTCTCTCAGCCTCCGTGTGTTTCTCGGTTTCTTTGGGTCTATTTGGGTCTATATCCAAGACAGTGGATGAGTGGGTGTGGAGTTTTTCTCATACGGTCAGTCCTTGATCCTCGGTCCTCGCAAACACCAGGCCTCGGTCTACCGAGGTTGGGCCAGGGCTGCCTTCTCCTGGTATCTGGGGCGGGGGGCCGGCCCCTGCCAGGAGAAGCGGGCTGCTGGGCCTCGCAGAGCCGGGCGCAGGGCTGTCGGACCGATCGGGCATATTCTGCCCTCTGCTGGTAGCACTACGTCCTTGCAGCTGCTGTCGGGTGAGGAGGTGAGAGGGTCCTGGTTCCAGGTCCGGACCCTTGTCTTCTTCAGAGCGCACTTGGAAATCCTCTCCCACCACAGTCCCTGCAGACCCACCCGGGACCCCGGACTCCCAGTGCAGCGTCCCATCCTCCTCCCCCATCGCTCACTAACCCCTTTCCCTGTGCCCGGCCTCTTCCTCTCCACACCTCTTCTCCCTTTCGGCGGAATGGGGGCCTCTTACACTTCTCTGACCCTCGGCCACGCGTCAAGAGCCGAGTCGGGGCAGCCGGCCGTGTACAGGTCGCATCCCCGGGGCCACCGGCTGGCTGGCGCTCTGCGCTGGGGGTCGTGCCGGCTGCCCCGTCGGGTGTGGGTGGCTGGTGTATCCTGGGGCACACAGAATTTTGGCAGGTCACTTCGCACCCTTGCCGGCGTCACAGTCAACACCACCAGAGCAGCCGCCGGGAGGGCCAGGGGTGGCGCTCAGAGACTCCCCGCAGCTGCCGAGGTGCGCGCCGGCTGAGTCCGGCCAGGGCTGCCCTCCCTTGTCCGGGAGGCGAGCTGCTTAGTGCAGAAATCCGGAGTTCCCTCTCTCTGTCCTTTCTGCTCACTACCCATTCGTCCACCCCCACTTCGGGTCACCCTGTAGGTCCTGATCCTTGCCATTTGTCCCTACTCCCCGCGTCGCTCGTTCCCCAGCCGAGTCTGCGGTCCCGGATCCTTCGCACACAGCCGCGCAGGGGCCCGGTCGCCCTTTATCACAATCGCAACTCCTGCGCCTCCGGACTTCCTCCCCTGCTGAAGATGTGACCAACTGGGTGCTAGAACCGGGGCCTAGGTCCGGAGTTGGATACAACCCGTGGGAGCGAGGCCTTGCTTTTCCCCACAGCAGCCAGGGGCAGCCGGTACCCACCACTGGCCTGAGCGGCGCGGGACCCACGATGCCGCGCCCTGACCCTGGCGGATAGGGGGTTCCTTCCGGCTCGGACTTCAGCGGCAGAAAAAGCTTCAGCTTTTCTTCACCTAAGGGAAGACCTGTTCGGCCGTGCGGGACCGCTTGGGAAGAAGCAAAACCAGAGAGACAAGCTCCAGGGCGGGCGTCTGGGCTCCCGGGATCCGGTGGATGCCCCATCTTCACTGAGACCTCCCCAGTCCTCCTTGCTCCTTTTCTCAGGGCCTTGCAGCCCTCCCCACATGCCAGAGGGACCAGCGTCCTGTGCTCCACAGCCCCCTCCCTGCATGGGGCTGGTGCACGCTCCACCCCCACCAATGCTTTCTGCCCAGAGCCTAGCGCCAGCGTCCCCTCTTGGTTTACAATCCTAGCTGGAGGCTAGATCCTGGGCCAGGATGGAGTGGAGGGTGCTGCCCCGCCAGTTCGGTGGGGAACGAAGGTGCAGATGATGAGCCGCATGGGTCCACAATTCCATTCTGCGCAAGAGCCACTCAGATTCAGGAGGGCCAGCCAGACTGGACCCAGACTGCTCCGAACCATGGCCTGGGTTGGGAATTGCTCTTCCAGGGAGGCAGCCCCAGGTCCGGAGACCTGGGAGTGCTGGAGGTGGAGCTGGGTGGCCCTGGGAGAGGTGCCCACGCTCCCCTCCTCAGACCCAGGGGTGCTTGGCCCCAGCACATGTGGTCAAAGGCTCAGGCCCCTTCTCAGCAAAGAGATGGCCGTGTGTAATGAGTAACCCTGTCCCCTCCCCACAGCCCAGGGTGGAGTGTCTGCGTTGGCCTTGTGCTCTCGGGGAGCTCAGAGACCCTGAGTTGGGAGGAGGTCCAGAGGCGTGAGTGGAGAGAGGTCCAAGCTGAGGTCCCTGTGACTCAGGGCTGGGGCAGGCGCTCTCCCCTCTGGGCTTTTCTAGGCTGGTGGCAGGGGCCAGGATTTTAGGCAGAGCTGGCTGGTGAGGCACCGTGTGGGTGACTGTGACGGAGGCTGTGTGCAACGTGCAGCGCCGCCCGGTTCCTCTGCTCTCTGCAGCTCAGCCCCGCCCGCCACCAGCCGGTGGGGTCTCTGGCCACAGACCCATGACTTGTCAGCACAAGGTCTGGGTCATTAGTCATGAGATTCCTCCCTGGTGGGTCAGGAGACCGGATCCCTTAGATCCAAACAGTGCAGCCAGCTCCGGGGTGGTGCTCAGGGAGGGACAGCGCCCTAGGTAGGT